GAAAACTTACTAAACCATAGCTATTTAAATACAATGATATTTTTCCAACTATAACGTACAAAATATGCTTGTTAATACTATTCCTAATCTAATTTACAGCAATACATTTTATTGTTAGGCATTACAGTTTTGTCTAAGCACATTGCACACAGTACCCATTTGAAAAAATAATTAAGTAAGACAAAACAAAATCTAAAATTTCGTCTCCCATTGCAAACACCTAACCAACGAGCGCGATGAATAGTGCTGAATACGGAAGGTAAAATAGAAACCGTCTCAACAAAGGTGGAATTCGAGAACACAGGGTAATTGCGCAGACAAGACAGAAGTAATTAACACTGGAGAACACGAGAGAAGACAACTGACTGGGTTTGTGGATGAACGAGCGCTCAGCAATTTCTTTGAAGGGGAGGAGCATTGTCGAATTGTCAGACATGAGCAAAACATTGACGGGAAGAAAAGGAGAATCGGAAAACAAAAGGGCGCATGCTCGCAAACAATGCCGGTCTTCCAGTAGATAAAACTTGCAGATATTTCATCAGACGCTGACATTGTTGAGCTCACAATTATTCAGTCTGTTGTCGCCATTCTCAGCGTTGTTTGCGAGTTTATTGCATGGAGCAGCGCATTGTTTAGTTGTGTTGTTGCTCAAAGTTGAGTGTGTATGTGGGTAAAAGTTCGAACCCATGGTCTTCCAGTAGAAAAGACTTGCTGGTGTTGTTGAATTCCCAATCATTCAAGCTTTTGTCACCATTCTCAGCGTTGTTTGCGAGTTTATTTATGAAGCGATGAGTTGTTTCGTTGTTTGGCTATAAGTTGAGTGCATATGCAGGGTAAAATGGTTTTAATCCATGGCCTTTCAGTTTATAAAACTTGCTGGCATTGGTGAACTCTCAATCATTCTGTCTGTTTTCATCAATTCTCGGCGTTGTTTGCGAGTTTATTGGATGAAGCAGTGCGTTTTTAAACTAATCGTTGTTGCTAAAACTTGTGTGTCAACGTTGCGTTGGGTCGTGATCGTATCGTGGATTTGTATCACCCAGTAGATGGAACCTGCACATTTTTAGACAGAGGCTTACCATGTCATTGAGGTGTAAAAGTTCCGTCAATATTATATTGTTGTATACAGAACCTGCAGATATTTAATCAGACGCTGATATCGACATTGAGGTGTAAAAATCCGTAGAATCTAATATCTTCTGGACAGAACCTGCAGATATTTAATCAGACATTGACGTTGTAGAGCTACTAATGTTTTATCCTAATTCAAAAGACACTTTATACGACTGCAATATAATTAAATGCATAGGGTGTCATTTTGAACTGTAGACATGTTTTCGTAGGTAACGTAAATTTGTTGTATATCTTATAAAAAGGTGTACCACGTGAAAAAAAACTAAAACAAATTGTTGGGGTCGTGACGAATTGTGTTGTTTTGTACCGTGGTTACTTTTTTTCTTGAGTTACTCTTTTATGTTTATAATGACTTCAAAGAATTTCACTATAATGTGACAGACACAACAAAACAACAATCAACTTTATTAGCTGCGAAAAGCCTTTCCAAAAAGGGAAGTTAGGTTTCTATAGAACAGACTAGGGCGCATAGCTACCGTAGAGAACATGTCTCTTTGGGTAGAGCCGCTGTTATAAATCAAACGGGGCTGTTTTGGTGTTCTTTGGATTGTTGCTACAGGGAATGCCACACCCTGTACTAAACGTTTGTTTGAAGTCAAATCTACTGGACATTGAGCCCCGGGTGTGACTATACATTACAGAGGAGGTTATATAGTCAATGGTGTGACGCCTGGTAGTGAAACTGTTAGTACTTTTTCAGGTAATAACCGTAATAATAAGGTAATAATAATTTCAGGGTGAACTAAATGTATAGGTACCCAATTGGGTTTTCATCGAATTAAATTGTTATGAAAACTCCACTACCTACCTTACTTCTCAATAGTAGCAAATAGTTTTGGGCTTCACGTCGTAATAAAACTACGTTATCGCAAATATAGCATTACTGTCATCGTAAAAAAAATATAAAATATTTATGTCACACACAATTACAGTATTAACAGCTCACAAACTGAATACTGAAGGAGAAAACCTAATGTTATTTGAATGGGGTTTGTAAATCTGACGTATTTAAGAAAATAACTATGGGAAAGTCCAATTAGGGAAATAAGATTAAGTTTATTCTACAGGTTTGCTGTGGGGAAAGTAATTTATGAATTTTATTATTTTATTTAACAATTTGTTGTTACCTTTACTGCGTTCAAACCCTCTATTTGCATGACATTATTTATCTTGCACTTCTTAAAGTCGATTTTTCTATCCTTATTATCTACTAATGTTTATATTGACTATTAGATACTGAAGATTCTGTTCGTTTTTGTAAAACGGTGTATCGGTCGAGAGAGAGGTTCGAGTTATAGTTTTACATGATATGCAGGTATAGCTCATACTAGTTCTTTGTCTGCACAAGGTGCTTCGTAGCAAGCAGCCCTACATTGTTTTCCTCACCCTCGGTCAGGGATTCCCGAGCGGCGGCGGAGTTTATTAGACCCCTGACATCTATACACCCCCAATAAACCTTTACTCTGCAGACCTTTGTCTTCATCTGCCTCTGTTGTATTTCTCTTGTGATTTGGGCCACTTTGGAATTTTTGCCAACCTGCCTTGTCTAGACGACTTCAAGGTCTTTTGACCCACTTAAAGGAATTTGAATTTCGGAGGCGTTTTCCTGGTTCGACACTTTGTGTTGTTGAACAGCTGTGATTTACAAGTGTGTGAATATTTTTGTTGTGCACCAGAAAAAAAAACAACACGATATAACAACATAATCTAACTCAAAATCAGTACACATTAGCATTCTCAATAATTTATTTGTACTCAAATAATGTAAAATAAATCCAAAAAGAGCTAAAAGTACCGTTTTCCTTATGTAATCATACAACTGATCCAGACTACACCACTACGGAGCTCGTTGAATTCGGAAGTCGGACCTTATGCACTCTTTGTAGCCTCATCACGCAATAATTTCAAAACATACTTTATCCAAACTTACAAAGGTTAATTCAATAAGCACTGGGAAGGTTAACGAAGTGACCTAATTTCAATTTGATAATGCCTATACAATTTAAAACTGACTCGTAAAGAAAAAATAATAGCCTATTATAGTTATGGAGGCTGCACTTTACTGTCCTACACTCATTCGAATGAAAATATTGATTATTGGAATGAAACAATCGATTGATATTTTCATTCGAATGAGTGTAGGACCGTAAAGTGAAGTAAACATGTTTTTATTAATATTTAAATGGAACTGTCCAAAAACGTCCAGAATAACTGTTACAGCTACTGTATTGGTAAGACACTCGGGCCAGTGTTTATGGTTAAAATCTATAGCCTATTATAGTTATGGAGGCTGCACTTTACTGTCCTACACTCATTCGAATGAAAATATTGATTATTGGAATGAAACAATCGATTGATATTTTCATTCGAATGAGTGTAGGACCGTAAAGTGAAGTAAACATGTTTTTATTAATATTTAAATGGAACTGTCCAAAAACGTCCAGAATAACTGTTACAGCTACTGTATTGGTAAGACACTCGGGCCAGTGTTTATGGTTAAAATCTATACTGTTTCTGTTCTAATGTTCAATGTTCGTGTAAATTGCTATGATGATTATTAAAAACAACGGAAATGTAAATAAATAATAATTTCTTGTGTTAATGAACGAGCCAAATACTCAACCTAAACACACAGAAATACCCCCGCCGTAGCAAACCTACAGACTTAAGTGAATTTCTTATTTGCCTGATTTGATTTTCAATTAAATCTATTTCAATAAAATTAGGTTGAATGAGTACCTACTAGGTTTACTGCCTTTAGGGAGGGTAATAAAGTGTGTGTTTTTTTTTTGTAAAAAAAAAGCTTAGCTTTTGTGAAGAAAGCTTAGTAAAAAATGCATAGATTTGCCAAGTTTCGAGAAAGTTTATGTTTTGAGGGTCAAAAATGAGAAAACCCTATTTTGACCCACTCGTTCGAATAAACGTAGGTTTACACTTTGTACCAAATTTAATTGAAATCTGATCATTTTTGCTCGATTTCTCGTGCTAATGGGCACACACACATATGCCTACATATAAATATATATATGAATTTGAACTATTGAATTGATAGTAAACGAAAAAGTAGATCGGTCCCGGGTCCAGGTCTTACCATGAGACCTACGGTAATAGCTTATTTCCTATTTGGGACATTCGTTAAAAAGAAACATTCGGGTGAAGAACATTGACCAAAGAATACCTACAGGTCATCTGGAAACTATCACTGACCAAATAGGTACAGTATTTTACTGATTAAGTTATCTTTTTTTCTAAATTAGAAAAAATAATTTGAATTGGCTCTTTTTAACTATCTAGAAAACTATCAAGTCAATGTGTCATGTGTCAAGTTATGAATATGCTGATTTTTTTGCTATTAGAAGCAAAACAACTCATTTGAATCGGATCTTTTTTACTTAGGCCTGCACAGCTATCAAGTCAATGTTTATCCAAAGTTATGGATAGGCTGTTGGATTCGAAACACGATGTTTTTCCATTAACTAAAAATAGTTACGGAGTTTTTAGTTGCTTGTGTCTATGCCAGTGGCATTTTTTAATTAAGTAAAATCAAACACTTTTGAGAGAAAATCGTTCCAAGCCCATTAAAATTTTGTGAATGTAGCGGGAGTTGCACTCACACAAAAATCCACGAACACTTGAACAGACCCGGTATGGATCATAAAAAAAAGAAATTATGTTGCTGGCCTATTATACGAGACGAATACAATACTGTATATCCAATCAAACACGATCAAAATAGGTAACTTCAATATAATAATATGTAGAACAACAGTATACGAGGATTCAGAATACAATCGATCAAAACATATTCAAAGCACGAAGAATACAAAATCTACAAGAAGTAAGAATGATCAGGGATCAGAGGGAAGTCAGACGAACAGACAGACATAAACAAGGCTCAGTGTCCAGGGTAGCGTGCGTCGTGCGGGCTAAACTAACTCTAAATTTCGGATTTTAAAGACTTTTTATTTCGGTAACAATGTTTGGTAACATATGTGTAATACACTCGTTATATCCACTGTGGGGGACAATGAAAAGTAAAGAAACTGATTTATTATTGTTCATTGTGTCCAACAATGCAGTGGCAATTCTGTACCTGGAACCGGGGGGCCAATGGGAGCGGGAGGCGTGGCTTGACTGGAGCGGCGCAATTGGCCGCACGTACCCCCGCCCACTCTAGGAGGCAGGGATGCCATCCTTGCCGCTCCACAGTCAGTTTACTTCTGCGACCCGAACAGTGAACATGACGAGTCACGCGTATCCCGGGTTCACGATGAGTTCGCCGATGGAAGGTCAAGAGCAACACATCAAGAGACCCATGAACGCTTTCATGGTCTGGTCCAGGATACAACGGAGGAAGATCGCACTGGACAACCCCAAGATGCACAACTCCGAGATCTCCAAGAGACTGGGCGCCGAGTGGAAACTCTTGACAGAAATGGAGAAGAGACCGTTCATAGACGAAGCTAAAAGACTGCGGGCGATGCACATGAAGGAACACCCCGACTACAAGTACAGACCTCGCAGAAAGCCAAAGTCTCCAGGACAAACAAGTATCCCCAAGGGCTCGCCGACTCTGTACCCAACAGGACCCACCACGGCTGCAGCGTTCCCAAGCTTCCCGCTGCCTCCGTACTTTGCCTCGCCTTCGCCCCACCTCGAGAGTCTTTCCGCAGCATACCCTCCACTTCCGCACTACTTCGGGTCCGCCTTCGACGCCGTCCATCTCTCCAAGCTAGTCCAGAACCAAGCCGCCACCGCGGTTTCTTCAGAGGCCTCCAAGTACGCTTCCAACCCCGCCGTCGCCGTTGTCAGCTCGCTCTACTCCTCGCTGTACCCAACATCTGCCTCAGGAAAGCTGCCTCCGCCGCCACTGTCGTTCTTCCACCAACCTCCACCTCCACCGCACTTCCTGTTCTCCGGCCAGCAGTCTCCAAGCTCCAGCCCAGGGTCTACGCCCACCTCCTCCGCTTCTACTACCCTGGACATCGACCAGCTGAGGAGGCCCGTCTCCGTCATATACTAGGACCAAGTTTTGTCGGAGGTAAGGAGTTACCGGACCCAGTTACCTACCCATGTGTCGGACTATTGAGTGTGTTTCCATTTATCTGTAGTCGGTAAGTCCATCGGTTTTTCTATATTTTTAGTCCACGTTAGTAAATGTTTTCGATAACTTAGTGTAATGCAAAGTTCAGTTTTGATTGCACAAACACTTATAACCTATATTTATTTCGAGTTTATATATTTTTAGTTAGTTAAATTATTAGTTTTTTTACAGATATTCAACACCAAACTAAGTTATTATTACATCTTACATTTTATCTTTCAGCTTCGTGTTAAATTTTACAAGTTTTCATTTTGTTTAAAGGAAAGGAAATATTTAGTTTAAAAAACAGCAATAAAATGTGCCATTCCTTTTTTTAACGTATCCACTTAAACATGACGTCTAAATATTATCTAACCCCGTTGAATAATTTTGTTTTTAAAAATTAGGCTAAATCCTCTCTCACTGCCTTGAGGTTTACAATTGCAGGAGCACTTTCTATCGTATGCAGTAACTTTTATTGCCAATCATCGTTTACATTCTCAAATTTTTGCTAAAAACCATAATATATAACATAACATAACCAGTTCGGTATGTAATTTAATTAGCTATTTTATTAGTTAATAAATATAAGTAATTAACCAATCCTACAACTTAATTAACCTACAATTTATTTTTAGCCATCTTTTCTCTAAACCTCAAAACTTAATTTATTTTTTATGTATAAGCAAGAGTTTAAACATTTACAAATTTACTTTTATAGACCTAATTTTAAATTAATGAGGGTACATTATTGTTAAATCTGCACACAATTTCTTACCATTTATCCTTTACGTACAATTTATTTCTTAACTTTTCTAGCATGTATACTTCTTTCAGCTTCAAGAAAGCTGTATGTAAACTTATTTTAAATTAATTAAGTAGGCAGGACTTTTTACATTTTATCAACACATAGGGTTTACAATAATTAATTTAGTTTGGTGTTCAATCATTGGAAAGACTGAGTTGATTTGTATTGTGGTTGTATACATTAGTATTTTTAGATGGTATATATGCTCAATTTTAATACGTTGATAGGGCTACATTTAAACCTTTTTGAAATTTATCAGTGGTACCGTTTATTTTTGTCTTGTTCATATTTTTCATGCTACTTGGCCATTGTTAATTTAATTTATTTGTTAATTCTTAAATTAATTGTTAATCTTCCACGTATTCGCTGCTTTCGAATGTGTTCTGTAAATAGATATTAACTATAACATTGTAATAAATTTGTTATCATAATTTCAAGCCAAAGGTTCCAAGATTTTGGTATACATATGTATTTTATGTGTACAAATGTGTATATCGAAAAATAAATGTGGATGTTTTATTCTAAACTGTTTCAGTTTCACTTGCTCCTTTTTATTTAACATTAGTATTTATTTACAATCGATATGATGGTAATTTTAAAAGAATTAGCTCTCGCTCTCACAGTATAACTAATGACATAGAAGAAAGAAAATGTAACGATTTCTATAGAAATTAAATTAATTTGTATTTAATATTATAATTATTTTATTTTAATACATTATTATGATTCCCTCTTGGTGTTGGTAATGCAAGTAATTGATTGATTATGTACATCTTTATTTGTGCTATTAATGTGCAATGTCTAGATCAAATGCGCTTTTTAATCCAAAAGATCTTATCTGTTTTACGTTCAGACCAAATGGGAAAATCAATCATGAATAAATTCAGATGAATGTTGCACTTTATATAAGCTTATGGACTAACGACATCGCCATTTTCAAGTAATTTACAATTGTACCTGTTTTATCACTGTTTATATCGCTGTGTATCATAAAACATTTGAATATAAAGTGAAAACAGTTCTAAACCCACACAACGCCAAAAGGATGTGAGAAAAAAGAATTTTAGAAATATTGGTATTTGTATTTAATTCTCCATTGGCAACAGAGTTAAATGTTATGGATATTAAAAAAATATTTTTTATAGAACATACTGTGGCTAGTTGCTGTAAGATTGGGCACATGCATACAGACATAAATGTTTTTTGCAATTTTTTAAGTTTTTGCCATTTGAAGCTGGCATACAGTATCTTTTTCGTCCAATTGTTTAACTTACTGAGGCGATTTTAATAGCCATTCGATATACCATAATAGATTCATCAACAAGAAAAGTCCGTTTTTTAGAATGTAAACAATTTGTACAGTTTGTTTTACGATCCTTCAAACTTTCTAAATGATCACACAGATATATTTACCACATTGCCTATCCAACTCATTTGTGAATCATTATATTTTTATTTAAAGTGTGTTGTTAAATAATAAAATATCGCCAAACCAAAACATTCATTCGTAGAATGGAGAAAAATAAAAAAGCAATTTTTCAACAAACGTCCTTCAAATGGGGCAAAATAATTCAGTTTCGCTTGGAATATGGCAGAAGCCAGCAAACTGTAATCAGTTAATACCAATATTTGTGTTTAACCAAGGTCAAACTAAACACACTTTTGCTTTAGCAGCTGTTTAAAACATAAATCGCTATGATTAAATCTATACAGGTATTATGGACACGAAATTCTGAAAAACCCGTAAGCAGAACACATATCGACCTCATACTTGAATGAAAGGTAATAGTATTGAAGAGAGTATTCTTGGAAAATGCTAGGTTTTCGATAAACACTCTCCTAAAGGTGGACATTAATTAAAGGGTTGAATATCACCACGTTTAAAATAATATTGAGTATGTGCTGGCTGCATTTCTTTTGACTCTTTGTTTGTTTACTTTTCGCCTGGGTTCACCTTTTAATTTTCATTATCAATTTTCTATGTTGTACCAAGCATAGTAGCTACGTTTTTTTTATGATGTGGGATAATATTTACCTTTGAATTCTGTATGTCTTCCAGTTGTGTACATATTAGATCGGTTTTCTATATATATATATATTTAAATATATATATATATATATATATAAAACAATAATTGATGTTACAGACATAAATGTTTTGTAAAGTCACTCGCAATAAGAACCAAATAGTTTGGAATGAGTCTTGACCCCCGTAGGGAAGAATAATTCATCTGTAGAACATTTTTCCTTATGACATGGAAAATGTTGATAAAATTGCAACAGCTGTTTGCATAAGAGGCGGCAAAGAACACAATCTTTGAATTTTTCTCCCCTCTGTGGACCACGGGCCTCATAACTTAATAGGTGATGTTTTGATCGTATAACACTTGTATACATAAAGAATCTAGCGACAAACATCTAGGAAGTCCTATTTCGGTAGTGCTCAAATTGGAAACAAACACCCAAGGCATGTTACTAAGGAACTAAGACAAAAAATCAAGTCTATGTTGAAAGCTTTGTTAGACTTTATTAGAGACTAAATACTGTAGTAGTTTACGCAACGATTGCGTAAAGAAAGTGTTAACGACACGAGTAGAAAATTTAGGGTACGAGCCTTGGCGAGTGCTTTAAAAACTTCTACGAGTGTCGTTAACACTATTTACGCGAGTTGCGTACACTACTTTACCTAAGACGGTGTTTTAATTACTAAAAATCACTACTCATAACTTCTAAGAGAGGTTATGTTTTTGTTTATAACCTCTAATTGCCACTGACAGTGATGCAACGAAACATTCTATCAAATACTTATTGCACCAATAAACAATTAAATGTTCAGGCCACAGCTGATTAGTTGAATTTCGAATCATTACAATTTTGCTTCTCCTCTCTCAGTCCTTGAACCTCATTGGTCCGTTACCCGTGTTGTTATGAGTAAAACTATGCTGTTATGAAAGTAAACAATGCTGTTATGTGAAACTTATAAATTCTAAGAACTGTACTGAAACGGCTACTTTAAAAAACGGTCGTAGGTAAATAAAATAATAAAATAAAGGGAAATGTCAAAGGAAATGTTCTCAAAGGCCTACCAGTGAACTAAACCAAGAAATCTGCCAGGGATCTAGAACACTTTAAACGAAACAACCCATATGTTAATTTTTGTTTATCTCTATGCGACAACCACGTTGCTTCGGCGATTCCTGTGGTATCATGATACCACAGACTACGGAGGACTATATAATATTACAGTATTATATTGTATGTGATGATACAGTTCTCGCTTTTTTGCTTGGACGACACTGATGATAAGACTGCACTAAACTGATACTGTAGGCTACTCTACCTACACACAACCTATAATTTGCTTCCAAAACAAACAAAATTTTATCAATTTATTATTCTTTGAGTAATCTTACTATTATAAATATGAAAGTTTGTGTGTTTGTTTGTTTGTTTGTTTTGAAGGTCAATCACGCATAAACCACAGGATGTTTTGGGCTGAAATTTGGCATGATGATAGCTCACATTCCCGATTAACATATAGGCATATTCTTATCTCAAAAATCCCTTCGGGCTCCGCCCCAGTGGCTCTGTAGTTCCCCATGTTACCTTATGAGTATTCATATTTAGAGGGAATTAAAGAATTTAGTCAGCTGTTTCAACTAAAAAAGTTGGTTCTATGATATACAAAAGCATAAAAGTTATAAGATTTACCAACAGAGTGCAGCACTATTTTTTTTGCATTATGTAAACAGCTAATTTGAACTAAGCAGCAACAAACAACTATGATACGCAATGAGAACTGTCAAAGTAGGATTGTTTACAGTTATGTTTATGTTTTTAATGTCATGAATAATTTGTGATTTTTTAAATTTGTAATACTTTTTTTCTTAATTGTTTAGGTGAAGAGGTAGAAACATTATGGCTATGGTGGATGTGTAATACCATAGTATAGGCCTACCGTCAATTTAAAGAAGCAAATTTTATCAAACTTTGTCCTCCCCATTGCAAACGCAAAGCTTGAGTATAGCTGCAATAAGCAATTTAAACTCATATGCCAACCCCGTACGAAGGACGGTGCTCTGCTAGTATTTCTATAAATCTAAAATGCATAATGCCGAATTTAAAAATACAAAGATAAAAACGGGATAGCAAGGAAGAAGTATAAATAACAAATATTTAAGAAAATACAAGTTAGAGATAAAACAATAATCAATGAACAGTCCTGTAAAAATAAATTGTATAGAGGGTGTTTCAAATGAAAGAGCAGATTTTAACATTAAAACATATAAAATCTGCTCTTTCATTTTCAAAAAAATGTGTAACATTCCCGTCTGTATTCTCTTTATGCAGTTACTCACTGTCAATCCGACTTGCAGTGAAACATAATAAAAAAATATACAATTTTTATATTAAAAATTATATTTTTAAATGAAATATAATTTTGTTTTTTTTATGAAGTTCAGGTCTGGTTTTGTGCCAATACCGAATATGACCCTAGTCTCCAAAGGTTACCCTGTTAATATGTAAAGATTGTTTGGGAGATTTTATTGATCAGCTTCTGTTTAAACAGCAAAATAGCTACAATTCTTAATTCATTAACAATAATATTTAAGTTGCTACTTTAGTTGTTTACTTTACAGGTGACTTTCATACAAATCAGGTAAATCTTCTTGACAAGTTTTATTTTCTTCTATAATAATGCTGGGTTTTTAAAGTTTGTAAAATCCTATATTAGTTTATCATATTTGACTGATATTTAACTACTACTAGGACTTAACTTCCATAGTTTTAGGCTGACACCTAGTGAAAAGCACAGACAAAGCTAGCATTTGTTTGAAACA